TACTAATGCATAAATAAATTTATATATGCATGGCATTTCATAACGCATATCATTTAACATTGATTTTCTGGGAAAAATCTCACTTATATAAAATCACCAAAATTGAACAAATTTCGAAAAATCGTTCGGATATTACGGAAAACACCAACTTACATCAAAAGGCGTCATGACGATCGGTTCCTGGAATAATCATTAAGACATGCCTCATAAATCATATCGATAAAATATAACTTATATAAAACACGTCACTCATAAGATACTAATCGATCATCTGACAACAGATTTCCGATTTAAACTTCCAGACAAATACCTCTAGGACTAAAATTTCATTACCAACCAACGGTCGGATCTCTGTCAATTGCCAAAACCAAGTGACGGTTAACATTCTATATTATGAACTTACAACTCCAATTCCGAAAGATCCGTAAATCGGATTCCCGATCCGTAAGTTCCTATAATCCTCAAATATTACGTACTACTACGTATCAAAGTTTGGTGATGATCCGACGATTGGATCGTCGATTCACCTTTTTGGCTTAATCATGAATCGTATCGAAATTAAGTCCAAATGATCAACCAACGTTAAGCCACTATCAAAACTGAACTTAGGACATCAAATATAGCTTAAAAATAACATTGGCGGCCCACTGGCCACGTGCCGCAGCACGCGCCGTCGTGGGTGGCGGTCGGCCCTCGCCGGAAAATCCAACTATTTCTAAAAATTACCAAAATTTACAGAAATGAAGATCTCAATGAGTAGAGTAAACTTTATACCTGTGGGCAAGGCCAATTTGGCCTGGAAAGGCTCCAATTCCATCAAACCTGTGAAGAACCCTAGAAATTAGTGTTTTCAATTCGACCTCCAAAACCACTCCGATGCTCCAACTAATGCTTGGGCTTTGTTCCAGGTCCTAAGGGAATGCTAATGGTGTTAGTAATTGAAAGAAAACATTTCAAGATTTGAAGAATTTGTACACTAAGCCACTGCACACACCGTATGGTTTCATCCAATTTCAAGGCCAAATTCTTTGATTTTTGGGGTGTAATAGGAAGAGGGAAGATCATGGAGGGTTTTCCAAGTGATGATTTGAAGTAACTCACCAGAAAAATGAAGAAATTTCGACAGAAAAGGGTGGAGAAGCGGGTCATGGGTTGAAAACCCATTTCTGTTCTTCTTCCTCTGCTTCTTGCCCTCTCTCCTTTCCTCCTTTCCCCTTCTTTGATTGGCCAGAAACTTCTCTCTCTTCTCCCCATTCGCCTAGCTCTCTCTCCTTTCTCTCCCAGAGCTCCTGCTCTCTTCCTCTGGTTGGGCAGTTTTACCCAATCTCTTCTTCTTCTTCTTCTTCACCAGTCACGCACACACACATACACACACAAAACCTTCCTTCATCTTTTTATTTTTATTTTCTTTCCCTTACATCCGAGCCATCCATTCCATATTTCCTTTAATCTGAGCCATCCAAATGGCACACCAAATTTTTATAATAAAATTCATAAAATGCCCAAACTTCGAACTTTAAAATCTTTTTCGTTATAACTCCAAATCACGAACCGTCTGTGCCCACGCTTCTTTAGCGACGAGTATTACGAGGATATGTCAAGAAAACAAATCTTAGATGGCACGACACAACGATTAACCTCGAATAATGCGCGTGCCTGAAAGGGCATTTGTGTAAAATCCTTTATTAAAACTTTAAAAACTCTTAAAATCAGGGATGGGCTGTCACATGCGTACCATAATATATTTTACTGAATAGTGTACTGAAATTTCGATACCTAAAATAGTATAATAAATTTGTGGCACATAAGAAAATATGAAAAAACTTAAGTGTATCGAAAAATTCATATCTAAACATATTATTCTAAATTAGTGTACCGAAATGTTTGTATCTAAATGACACGCCTCGATCTGAAATGTCCACTTGGACTTCAAATCGAGCTGTGCTGGCCGACACCAGGAGGGTGATGAAGCTATGAAGTGTAATGATGTGGAAAATGTGAGTAAATTTAATCATGAAAGTGCATAAATGAAAGAGTGCGCTTGTAAGCGGGAATGAATTCATTTCACACATGATGTCAGAGCATAAGTAAAGTACAATAAAATTAGAATAAGAATTATAGCATTGGGAGTAGTCTCCAATATCAGTGTTTACCAAAAATCCTCGTCGACATGAACACTGCCACTAAATCCTGAAGGGACGAAAAACAAGGGTGAGTGTGCCTAAAAATAAAGCTTTATAAAAATCTTTTCAAAACGTAATAACCCCTTGTCATAAAACAAGTATAGTTTCCAAAATATACATACTAAGTATAGTATGAAAATGCTTATCGTAGCCTACAATATCTCAAGAATTCAATACGTCACAATATTTCGTAAATAAACTTCTAACGTCCAGTAATCACATAATCTCGCATACACAAACATATCATATCGAGTGCTCATTGACATATGTTGATACACGAGTTCATGCAGAGATATTCTAACATGAGCATGGCTGAGTGTAATAATGATTTACACTTTAGTACTACAACCACGTGAAAACTGGCGCTAAGTGCGTCAAATACAAGTTCGAATTGCCTATAGCAATGTAGAACAAGACTGACACCTACAATGGATTCAAAGTGAGCGTATGGTGCGATGTGAACATACACGTGAAGCCTGGCCCTGGCTAGGGCAAGTACAAACACCAGTGCAGCATGCATGATGAGCAGTAATATAAATATGATCATACTACAGAAATCTCGTAATCCACAATAATAAAATAATAATATACGTGATCGTAAATATATTTATGGCGTCACATCAAAATATGCATAAACGTGCATCCTGTAGAATTTATGAGAATTTCATAAATTCCGCCAGTATGCTAATTCTTAAAACGTTAGTCAAATCATGGTATAACGTAGAAAATTCTTTATCAAGTATATATGGAACCTAATTAAATATATAATATTTAAAAGCAAAGATCCACTCACAAATCATGTTGCCGAGTCAAACCCGCCTCGTGGGCATCGAAGATCCTTGAAGCGTGTTTCATCTAGAAACAAAATTATTTATGTAAATATATAACAAACTAACGTAAATATGCATTTTTGTACAAAGTACGGCTAATAAAGAAACTATTTTAAAATGGTTGAATTTCAAAAAATGGACGACGGATTTGGGTTTAGCACGTCGAGAAACCTAAGGAGCAATCTCGAGTTCCTCCATGCGTCGCCGCACGCGCCGCCACAAGATGGTTGCATAGGCAGCCACACGCTGGCTAGCACGCACCTTCCTCACGAGGCCTGGAGATTTGCAGGTTGAACAACCGACTTCCAGAGCTCATTTCGAGCTCGATGCTTAACCAAATTCAGTGATTCAAAAGCCAATTTTAAGCTAGGAATGTAGGGAACAAGACTATACCTATTGGAAGCCCAGTCGTGGCCGGTGTTGGCCGGGAAATTGGTCTGAAAGTGGCCAAATGGTCACGGATTCTAGTTTTCCAGAAAATCTGGGGGTTCTTCCATGGGTTTTTTTGCCTTAGATCGTCCCCCTAAGATTATAAAAAGCATCAAGACTTCAAAATAAGAAGGAACTAAGAGGTTCTCGAGGCTCACCTTGGTTACACAGTGAAGTTTTGCTCTGAAAAATGGCGGTGGTGTTGATGTGTTTTCTCTACACTTGCAGAGATAGGGAGAAACGAGAGACGGAGGTAATGGCAGAGGGATAGAATGTCATGACAGTCACATGTGGTTCTGGTGGAGTTCGCCGAGGAGGTGGTATGTGTGGCGTTGCCTTTACACCATCTCGGTGTTTGTCGAGGAAGAAGGGAGAAGGATGACAATTGAGAGGGTTTGAAAAATGAAATAGGGAGAATAGTCCGAGAGTTATGGAAGAAGGAAAACAGGAGTAAGGGAAAAGAGTGGGGTGTGGGTCCCACTGGGCACATAGCCCAAACCACAAAAGGACGAAACAGAAAAATATCTTCCGTAAACGTGAAATTACCTAACCACCCTTCGCATTCGTAGTCCCGTAGAATTTTCATTTTAGTTCCAAATTCGATTTAGCTTGCGCCTACGTGTTCGTATTGTCGAGTATTACCCAAATACACTAAAAGAATGGGTCATACGTCCCTCAAAACTATGGTCAACGAAAGTCAAAATTCTTGCATGTAGGGCATTCTCGTCAATTCACTCTTTTAAAATTAATAAAATCGTAAAATTATGGACGGGTTGTTACACTAAACATATTATACTAAACTAGCGCACCAATATGTTTGAACCTAAATATACTAGAATACATTAGTGGCACTTTAGAAAATATGCAAAACTTGAGTGTATCGAAAATTCTCCATCAAAATATTTTCTTATATAAGATACTTACCATAAATTGGTGGCACAAAATGTTAACAAATAAAACTAATATTTTCTTATAGTATTTTTCATTAATTTATGGACACTAAAAATAATAAATTAAAGAAGAAATTGAATGCATATGCTGACATTATAGTCTAGGGACTAAAATCAATTTTTAATCTTGTATAAGACATTTTTCTAAACTTAGCATAGTATGGTTTATATATTTTGTGCTCGGTTCTTGCCGCTTCTTCTTGGTCCTAAGAGCTATATGGCTGTTTTCATTATCAAGAAAATGGACTCTCCACCTATGACTCCCATGCCTTTATTGGTTGGACCAACCAAATTTTCGATAAGTCTTTTGGTTATAACAAGAAGCGGAACTCTCTAAAAATGAAACTTTTTTTGGACTCATTGTTACTTTATGTTTTAAATACAATATTAACATGACAATTAACGTTAAACTGGGAGATTACAAAAAATTTATAAATAATTTCACTTTTAAATATTTCCATTTAAGAATGCTTTTTAGAGAATATAGCGACGCAAAATTGAAACTCGAAAGTAGAAACAGATCGGGCAGAATTTCCCCAAATATTTACCAAGGTGGAGGTGACGTGTGTGGTCAGCACAGCACTAAATATTGGTGACTGGTGAGTGAATAACTCCTCCGCTGAATGAAATGATTTTCAATTTGAGTGGACGAGGTACCAACTAATGGGGATGGGGTGCCTGCTATCCTTAGTCTCAGCCTCAGGCTTTTGTTGCTGCCGCTGCGGCAGCTATTACCCTGTCTCCGTTGCTATTGCGTCGCCAAGCCGCCATTCGGTTACTGGTATCAGAAGACGAGGTAATGTACCACTCGCACTCGGTCCTCCTCCACTCCCATGTTCTTCCACTTGGACTTGCCTTCCTGTTTCTGTTTCTCAATGTAATGGAAGACGACGAAGCAGTGACCCGAACAATAATTTTATTGCCAATTGCACCCTTGGTAGTGGTAGTGGTGACCCCGAACTCCAAGATTCACAGTCTTCGTCTGCCGTCGATTGCGTGGGGACAGGCCAGGACGTAGAGCACGTGGTCTCTTCCGAAGAAACTCAACAGCAGACTACCGTTGGATTGGATTTGGAATTGATACAGCAAGTACAAGAATGGGCAGTACTGGTCTCTCCCTTCTTCTTTTGGGGTACCTCCATGGTGGCCATGAAGGAGGTTCTGCCAAGAACGGGCCCTTTCTTCGTCTCAGCCTTCCGTCTAATCCCTGCCGGCCTTCTCCTCGTTGCCTTTGCCTTCTCCCGAAGGCGCCCCTTTCCATCTGGCCTCACCGCCTGGCTATCGATTGCACTTTTTGGCCTCGTCGATGCCGCTTGTTTCCAAGGGTTTCTCGCTCAAGGTTTGCAGCGGACATCTGCTGGTCTGGGCAGTGTAAGTTTGTCAGTTTAAATCAACGCACACACGCATTTCTAATCCTCCAACTCCAATTGGTAGCCTGAATCTACTGCCACTGCACTTGTAGGTTATAATTGATTCACAACCTTTGACGGTAGCTATACTTGCTTCCTTGTTCTTCGGCGAGTCTATTGGCTTTCTTGGAGCTGCTGGCCTTGTTCTTGGTGTCATTGGACTTTTACTTCTTGAGGTAAACTTTTTCTTTTTGTCATTTTCATTCTATCTCCTGTTTTCTATTGATCTAGTTATTGCTTATTGCCCCTTCGAATTTGAATTCAGAAATTTAAGCGGGGACGAACTACATCTGAATTCACAACTTTCGTTTACAGGAAATGCTTCTCAAGCTTGTTTTATGTTTTGCCATTTTCTTCTTTTAATTCTTTTTGCTGCATTTTGGATTTGACATTGCATCATTGAACAACATCTCTGAATTGCTAGTTCTAGTAATTATCTTAAGCTTTTCCTACACACAGCCAATTGATGCTTTTGTTTTTTGTTTTTATCCTTGAATAAGCTAGCATAATGAATTTCTATTTTTTATTTTTTCTGTTTGTTCTTTTCCTTCTTTCAAATGTCTATTTTGTTCAGGGGAATGAACTAGCGGTGTTAGTAGTTATGAACCCATACTTTGCTTTCAAGTAATATGATGTGCTACTTGTCATATTTTGCCACTGCCCAATCAGCATGCAGAGGAAAACACTGATGCTTAATTTTGATTAGAAAATGGGTGAAGCACAGTGGGCATTTGTTCTTTATGGCTGGGCTAGTGAAGTTCAATTCATATGATTACATATGTGAGAATCTGTGGGTTGGAATTTTGACAAATAGGTTTGAGTTTGACATAGATGGATGGCCAATGAAATATTTGGGACTTGCATTAGGGAAAATTCAAGAGAGCATTTTTTGGGACACTTGTGCAAAAAGCGGAGAAGAGATTAGATGGAGGAAGAGAGCATTTTTTGCTAAAAGAATGGAGGCTTATATCAGTACAATCAAAGAAGGGAAGAAACGTCATTGATGAAGTTGGTTTTGACTAGATCTCAGGATAGAGGAGGCCTTGCAGTGGGTAATTTTGAATTAGCATTTTTGAATGAAGTGGTTGTGGAGATTTCCGATGGAAAATGAATCTGTTTGGCAAGTTATCATCTGAGCTAGATATGATCTTGTTTCTAATTAGTGGGGTTGTGAGGTGGGGAACTGAGGCTCAAACCAAAGTCCTTGGAAATAGATCTTGTAGGGAAATAATTCCTTTTCTCATAATCTGCATTAGTAATAATGAAATAGTGAAAGAATTAGATTTTTGTAAGGTTCCTTTATGTTTTTCATATTTGGCAGATTTGGAGAACATAATTTCCTCTCATGTGCTTGTAAAAGAGGTTTGGTCAAGACCTATTGTATTACCCCTTCTCTTGCTTATATTATTTCCTAAGCTTTATTCTCCAGGCACCTTCACTTGTTTTTGATGGAAGTAACTTTTCATTATGGCAAAGTGGGGAGTGGTGGATGCTTCTTGCAGCTCAGAGCATGGCAGTTGGCACAGTCATGGTGCGCTGGGTTTCCAAGTACTCTGATCCTATTATGGCAACTGGATGGGTACGCGATGTCAACTCACTTGATAATGCTTATTACTGATGTTATTTCCTGGGTTATCCTAGAATTGTTTATTATAGCATCGAAACTCTGATCTCTATTTTAAATGTGCTTACCTTCAGTGTATAAATCTAAAATTGGGATATTAAATGTACTCATAGTTGAAGAAAGTTTCAACCCTCGCTCTCTGCGTTTGGTGCTTTGTTTATTAAAACACATTTCAAAACTACCCTTAGATTGGAACTGTTAATCAATGATATACCTCTCCCCCCTCCTCTTGGGTTCATATAACCAATTGAGCTAAAGTTAATTGAACCATATTTTTGGTTGTCTACAAATATTCTAGATTATTTCATTTCTCGAGGAGGTGTTAGTTCGGGTGAAAGGAAATAGTGGTTCACTAGTGACAAGGTGGTGTTAGTATACATATCTTCGTCAACTTACCTGATGAATAGTTAAAAAGAAATGGTGGTTCAATAGTGATAAGGTGCTGTTAGAATGTAGTGTGCAAAATATGAAACTGAAAGGAGGTTTGAGTAATATGGAAACACAAACCAGGGTAGTCTACTTTCGTATTCTTGAGAGGAGGGTGGGTTATTTTATTCATAGGTACCTTCAGCAATGCATTGTTTGAAGTCATAAAATATTTATATACTTAGCTTTTAGACCTGAACTTGCTGTAGTGTTTTAGTATCTCAAGAATGCATAGAGGTCAGGGGCCCATAAACCCTTCTGTGTATGTTTGGTTGCAGCACATGGTTATTGGTGGCGCACCTCTGGTTATAATCTCCATTCTTAACCATGAAAATGCTGTCAGTGGGAGTCTAATGGAGTTCACAACAAATGATACATTGGCACTCTTTTACACATCCATTTTTGGAAGTGCCATCAGCTATGGTGTTTACTTCTACAGTGCAACAAAAGGTGTGGTCTAATTTTTTTTAATAGAATTTATGTTTTCATTTATTTTCATCATGAACTCCAGTAATTTTATTTTCAAACCTTTCACTTGCACCATTATTTTTTTAAGATCTTTTAGTCAGAATTTCTCTCTTTGAAGAGTAATTTGTTCTACCTCATTCCACTAGATTCACACTATAATTTGCAAAGACGATATTCTCTGCCTGTAGAATTGAGGTTCTTTTTCTGATCGGATTTCAGGTAGCCTGACAAAGCTCAGCTCTCTTACCTTTCTTACTCCAATGTTTGCATCGATATTTGGGTAAGATCATTCAACTAAATAAATAAAGTTAATAAACCCGTAATGATGTCCCCTGTCTAATATGGTTCAACAATAACTTTACTCATAACAATAAAGCAGAGTTTAGGGACTTTCGTAAAGTAATTGCCACACCTGATCGTAAATATTAATGGAATATTCCATGTTTTTGATAATAAAAATTCTATTCCTGTTTTTTGTGTCTCATAGATATCTGACTGCAGGTATCTTTATCTTGGTGAGATCTTCTCGCCCTTGCAATTAAGTGGCGCCATCATTACAATTGTTGCAATATACATGGTTAACTATAAAAGTTAAAACAACTCTGGAATGAAGCATACAATGAACACGGATGCATTTGGCATGTGTACAGAAGGTAGTTGGGTTCATTGGAAAACAAGAGAAGGTAAATATACATAAAAAGGAGAAGTTAAGATCCATTTTTCGTAAAAAGGAGAAGGACAGAAGCTTTTAGCGCAGCCATATTGTCAGAGCATAATATTGTTGAGAATTTTGCTACTTTGGCTGATCAGACAATCAAACTTTCATGAACTCAGAGGCCACAATTACGAATTAGTTATTTCCGTGGAGAATATATTCTCTTGGTAAAGTTGAATTGTATGATACATGAGAGAAATAGACTATGTTATATGTTATTTTTTGCATTTGCCCCATGATTTAGTTAATGGAAAGTTTGAACTATGGTGATGCATCTATTGAGGAATTTGAAAGGAATATGCGGCTTGACTTTGTTGTTCACTTAAAAGCTTTCCATGCTCCAAGTAGTCGATCAGCGGTTGTCTCCACTCTTCAGTGTTGACTGGAAGTGCTGAGATGACGTTTGTGTCATCTAATAGTATTTTAGTGACGAACGGGATCACCCATTTTTGGCAAATTGGCAGGTCCGCAGCTTCGTCTTCTCCTAGCACCATACTTGAGGCTAAGTTAACGAAAGTGTATGCCATTTGATTTTCTTTTCTTGGCACATGTTCTAGTGTCACGGCCTTGAAGTTTTGTAGTAGTTGAGTTGCTAGTAGAAAGTATGAGACAAGATCATCTTTCCTCACTTCATATTCAGTCAAGAGTTGATTGATTATGAGCTTCGAGTCGCCATACACTTCTAGCATTGTTATTTGCATGTCGATCGCCATTTGGAGTCCAATAATCGGTCCTTGGTACTCAGCGACGTTGTTGGAGCATAGCTTGCTTAGTCGGAAGGAATAGGGTAGTATTTGTCTTTGTGGCTGCCCTCACTCCGTCCGTTAGTGCGAATCCGTCGAATAACATTGTCAATGTTAGGAAGATGTCGATGTAGAACACCTCATCGTCAGGCAAGTCGTTTGAGATTTTCCAATCGATTCGGATTGTATGATCGGCAAGGAAGTCTGCTAGTGCTTGTCCTTT